AGTTATGAGAGTGTCCTAAGGGCAAAGTACACTCTGATCTTGGTACAAAGTACATTTGCTGTTCTCTTGGGAAGTTGGCCTATTTATACATCATGAATGTGTGACTGACAAGACTTGGTCTTCACATTGCCTACTAGAAAACTCAGGGCCCTAAGGGGGGTTGTGTGACCTGAACTGGAGTCTCATTTCTGGCATCAATTTTTCTCCAGCCCTGAGTGTCTTTCTTTTATTTTTGCCCCGTGTTTAATTTATACTGTCATGGATAACCCAGATGTCATCTGGGGCCTTGCATTCTTCTTATATTACCTCTGTCTTCAGGATCTGGTTTATAGATCTGGAGGGATCTGGAGATTGAGTTCAACTACATGGCAATGAGTCAAATAATCATGCCTATGCAATGATTATTTAAAATCTCTTTTTTTCTCTAGTGTATCTTCTCAGAGGAAAGCTCATCTAACTTGATTTACACACACACATATGCACACATACACGCACACACACACACACACACACACAACTCTCCCTGCTCCACACGTATCTATCCATATTATTTGTAAGTGTGGTGCAGACTTCATTGAAGATTTGAGGATCATGGGAAGATCCATATATCACATAAACAAATAATCCACATATAAATATTATACATTTCTGTTCTAAAGTATCCTTTCAGCCTTCCCCTCATTAGAGGTTTCTCACTGGCCCTTTGCCCTACCTGGTACCCAGGCAGCCACTGGTCATCTTGCTAAGTCCTCTCTTACTCTTTCTTCCCTTTTTCTTTTCTTCTTTCTCGTGAGCTAAAATAAATTCATTTATTTTAATTTTCTCAATTTTCTCAATTGCTTGATCTATAGGAGTTCCTCAACTTGTTTCTCGATTTCTTTCAGAAGGAATTGATCCTCTGTGGAAGGAGGGAAAGTCAGGAGCCTCCTATGTAGCCATCTTGCTGTCAGTTGTATTTCTACATTCTAGTGATGAACAATCAGAAAATGAAGTAGAAAATATTGGGTACAATAGCAGCAGACAATGTAAAATACTAATTTGGTAAAAGTTGTGCAAGACTTGTAGAGTATAAACTACAAAAATTTGCTGCGAAAAATTAAAGAAGACCTAAATAAATAGCAAGATATACCATGTTTATGAATTCAAAGACTCTCTAGTCTAAGATGTCAATTATTCTCAAACTAATTAATAGATTCAACACAATCACAATCAAAATTTCATCAGGATTTTTGTAGCAATTGAGAAGTTAATTCTAAGATTTATATGCAAATGCATAAGACTTAGCTAAAATCATCCTGAAGAAGCAAAACAAAGAAGTTTGAGGACATACTCTACATAATTTTAAGACTTACTACAAAGCTATAGTCATCAGAACAGTGGGTATTGGTTTAAGAATACACCAGAGATCAGTAAATTTATTTTGTAAAGGGCTAGATAGTAAGTATTTTAAGTCTTTGTGGCCATATAGTTTCTGTCACAGGTACTCAACCCTACTGTTGTAGTACGAAAGTAGCCACAGACAATATGTAAATAAACAGGCATGGCTATATCCCAATGAAACTTTATTTATAAAAACAGGCAGTGAACCAGATTTGGCCCATAGACTGACTCCTGGAATAGACTAATAGAACAGATCAGAATGTTGAGAAATATTCCCAGGTTTATAAGGATAGTTTTTGATGCAGGAGCTAAATGACTCAATGGGAGGAAAAACGTCTTTTCAACAAACGTGCCATACAACTGTATAATTATATGGGGAAAAAAATGAACCTTGACCCCTACCTCAAACCCTGTACAAAAATGAATTTGAAATGTCTCATACATGTAAATGTAATTTTGCTTTTTTGTAAAAAGCAAAAATTATAATACTGTTAGAAGAAAACATTGCAGAATACCTTTGTTTCCTTGGGAGCAGACAAAGATTTCCTAAAATGAATGAAGTGCTAACCATAAAAGAAAAAAAATTAATAAATTGGATTTCATTAAAAAACAACAATTTCTGCCTATAAAAATATACTTGAAAAATGAATAAGCAAGTCTCAGACTGGGAAAAAAATATTTGCAATTTATAAATCTGACAAAGGTGTTTTATTTAGAATATATAAAGAACTTCAACAAATCAATATAAAGAGACAAACAACCCAATAAAAATGGATAGTAGACTTGAACAGACATTTCAAAAAAGATATGTAAATGGTCAATAGCACATGAAAAGATGTATATCTTTTGGGGAAAAGGTTGGTATGTTTCAGGTTTATGTGAGATAGGTATATCATGTTAGGGAGAAGCTTAACTTTGATTATTTTTATTTGGAGTTGATTACAGTTTTATGAGTATTTATAGGTGTCAAGTTGACAAGGAGTAGACTGATGGATTTGAAACTTGGCTAGTCTGAATTATGTTTCCCAGAATTCCTTTCCCTTCCATGTATGTTTCTGGTTAAGGTGGGCATCAAGAGATATTTTGCACAAGATTTGGTGGTTGGAAATGATGCAGTAGTCATACTGCTTTTATGTGTGGAAGATTAGTGNTGTTCTTTAGATTCCACCTATAAGTGAAATTATATGACATTTGTCTTTCTCTGTCTGACCTACTCCACTCAACACAGTGCTGTCTAGATCCATTCATGTTGTCACAGATGGCAAAATTTCATTCTTTTATCAGCTGACAGTCTTGTGGGAGCTCCCTTGCAGGTAACTAACTGCTTTTCTCTTGCTGCTTTTAAGATTCTTGCTTTGTCTTTAAGCTTTGGCATTTTAATTATGATTTGTCTTGGTGTGAAACTCTTTGGGTTCATCTTGTTTGGGTCTCTCTGTGCTTTCTGGATTTGTATGTCTGTTTCCTTCACCAGGTTAGGGAATTTTTCTGTCATTATTTTTTTCAAACAGGTTTTCAATTCCTTGCTCTGTCTTCTCCTTCTGGTACGTCTATGTTGCGAATGTTGTATGCTTGATGTTGTCCTAGAAGCACCTTAAACATCATCATTTTTTTTTTATTCTGTTTTTCTTTTTGCTGCTCTGATTGGGTGTTTTCTGCTACCTTATTTTCCAAATCCTTGATTCAATTCTCTGCTTCATCTAATCTGTTGATTCTCTTTAATATGTTCTTTATTTCAGTTATTATAGTCTTCATTTCTGACTGGTTCTTTTTATGTTTTCTATCTCCATTTTAATGTTTCCTATTTCTTTGTTGAACTTCTCATTGAGATCACTGAGCATTCTTACAACCAGTGTTTTGAACTCTGCATCTAGTAGATTACTTGTCTCTATTTTGTTTAGTTCTCTTTCTGGAGCTTTGTTCTATTTTTTCATTTGGGACATTTTTTTTGTATTTGTTTCTATGTATTAGGTAGAGCTACTATGTCTTCCTGTTTCAGTAGTGTGGACTTATGTAGTAGGTGTCCTAGGGGGTCCAGTGGTGCAGCCCCCCTGGCCACCTGAGCTAGGTGCTCCAGGTATGTCCCTTGTGTACGTTGTGTGTACCCTCCTGTGGTAGTTGAGGCATGGTTGCTGTTTGCATGTTAATAGGAGGGATTAACCCTCAGGCTGATTGTGAGGACTGGTTGTGACTACAGTGGAGGAGCCGTTGTGCAGGGGCTGACCCTATGGAGAAGGATTTGCCTAAGCAGGGCTCTGGTGCTTGCCCAGTCTGCCTTTTGGATGTGGCTTTTGTTGAGGTGGTTGGGTGGTACTCTGGTGTGGTTTGAAGCTGACCACCAGGTGTGTTGGTTCTGGGGCCTCTTGGAAGGGGTTCTGTTATAGGCTCAGGACAGCTGCTGCCTGTGCCCTGCCCAAGGCCACTTAGTATGGGCCACAAAACAACCTGCAAATGGTTTCCACTTGTGCTGGGCTTGGAGGTGCCTGACGAAAGCCAAGATGAGAACTGAGGCTGGCTGTCATTAGTGCTAGGCTTGGACTGCTCAGCAAATGGCACAGGGCATGCTGAGGCCAGATGCTGCTTGTTTGGGGTTTGTGAACCTTTGAGAGATTTTAGGAAGGTCTGCAACATAAGCCAAGACAGGCCATTTATATGTAAAAGCCACTGGAACCGTCTTGAGTGGGCCCACAAGTTGGGTGGGGTGGGGTCTCAGGGAATAACCAGGGCAAGGCCAATGGTGTTAGCCAGGCTGATGGGGTCTTAGATACGGCAGCTACCGGCAACTGTACTCTGGGTGAGGGGAGAACTCAACAAAGAAATAATCCCGCCTGCCAGCACTTCTGTCTGGGAGAAAGCTGCCCTTCCAGCCCTTGCCCTGAATCCAGACAATTCTATTTCTCCCCATGAGTCCCTGGAACTTTTCAAGCTGCTGTCCCAGTGCTGGAGTTCAGAGTGAGTGAGTCCATTAATGAGTAAGTCCATGAACAGTCCCTTTAAGCCAGAAGCTATGGGGACTTCTCTTCCTATCACTAGAACTCTGGGCTGGGGACCCTGGTGTGGGATTGGGACCCCTCACTCCTCAGGGAGGGACCTCTGCAGTCAAGATATCCCTCCTGATTTTTAATGGTCATACATGGGTGTGGGACCAGCCTGTTCTACATCTCCACCCCTCCTACCAGTCTACATGGCTTCTTCTGTATATCCTTAGCTATAGCACCTCCATTCTTCTAGACTTCAGGAGGTTCTCAATGATGGTTGTTTAGTAGTTTAGTTGTAATTTTGATGTGGTTGGGAGAGAAGGCAAGCACAACGTTTACCCACTCTCCCATCTTGACCTTGTCCCTTTTCATATTTTTCTAATCAATTTTATTGAACTAAAATTTACAACATTTATTATTATAAAATGCACACATTTTATGTGTATGATGTGCAGTCAAAATGAGTTTTGACAGGGCCGGCCGAGTGGCGCGATGGTTAAGAACTCGCTTGGGATGCCAGAGGGCCCCGGTTCGGATCCCACATATG